TGAACGAGGAGTCAATTTCTCTGTAATACGTTCATCTCAACGCTATTAAGGTTTCAACAGTAGTGATAGAGCTTGATTGGTGCACTCCAGTACTAATAAAACAGGCACTACATCCCTGTTAAAGTAAAATAATCAAAATCAGTAAAGAGCAGTGTTATAGGGGGATTTCATATGGTCAGAAAAACTAAGAACGGGACAATCAGAAGCAGCAAAGTATCACAATTTTCATTCCAGATTTCATTCTGTCTCAGGAAGTAAACATAATGAAAGTTCAGAACCTGCACATGAATTTCTGTGCGTCTGATTTCAGGTTTCTGCACTTTATTCTTACCCAAAAAAGATCCTGAATGGAACAAAAAAAGTGGAGTCCTTGGCATGTTCTCCCTCTCTCTCTGTGATGATGATGTTATTATGAGGATGATTCAGTGTCCTAAATTTCAGCTTCTGCTCTCTAAAGAACCAACGAGTGTTCATTATGTAGGGAGAAGTGAATCAGCCAGCATGGGGGAGATTTCAGACCAGTTTTTTTGGTGAGTAGAATATTTTCAGGTTGCATAGAGATGATGCTCAAATCTCTAAAATGATGTAAAAAAACAGGATTGTGCATGCATTTTCATAGCTATGTGCCCAGGCTGGGAGAAAATCATGTTAACACCTTAAGTGGAGGCTTTTTAAAGTCTCATGTGTGGGAGTTTTCCGTGAAAAAGATCAGGAACTAACGGGGAGCAGTCTGTTATTCATGAAGTCATTGATCAGAAGTCCTGCAGGAATTCACCGCAGCTTTCCAGAGAAACTTTTTCAGCATTAATCTTAATTATGAAATGGAGGCTATGATTCAAATCCATCAGGCTTATGTAACACTGTGACTTCCTGGGGTCAGGATCCACCTACACTGCAGCTATCTGACAACACACAGCATTTAGACAACTACTTGAGGTGGAAACACATAAATCTCTCCATATATGCACTGACAAGGGTGACTGGATGTTGTATCCATGGCTACCCTCTCACCACGTAATCTGAATTATTTTTATCACAAAGACTTTGCTGTTTTTTCCTGCGGAGCTTACAGCTAACATCATGTACACAGATTCAGCTCTATATGTGAAGGCAGCAGAACCGAACAGGCTCAGGACCAAAGAGAGATAGAGGAGGGTTCTGATAAACTGCAGTATGGAGACGTTGTAGGTTAAATTGACTGTTTAGCTGCAGATGTGGACATACATGTTTTAAAGGCAGACTGATGTGAGGCTGGTTCGATTCCCCCCTTTTTTAAACACAGTAAGTTCTGTTTGAAGTTTTCTTTCTTGGACAACTTATGAGCTCAAAAGTTTTGCATTTCAGCGGACTCTTTCAAAACAACCCTTGACCTGAACTCTCCCCAGGTTTCCGTCTTCTTCTGTCTCAAGCAGTAACAGGTAAAAACTTGAATGTAGTCACTGCTGAAGTCTCTGCTCCCAACAGCAGTCACCGGATACATCAGACCCACTCTGCATATTTACATGCACTGTTAGGTTGTCCTTGTCTACAAGCGTTGGACAAGGATCCATCCTCTGTGGGGCATAAATGTCCAGAAACTCGTCTAAAAAGTGTCAGTCATGAACAGATTGTCTGATCAATACTGTGGTCCAGCGACAGAGCCAGGCTGCAGGCTACTGGCTCCACAGACAAACAAAACTTGTTGGACGAGCCCTCGTACTTTGTTAAGGAGACAGTCTCAGTGGGCCGGAGTCAACTGTTCATTATTCAGCACTGCAAAACACATCCCATCAGAGCAGGACACACTGAAGTATCTCGGAGAATAATGAGAAAAGAAAGGATTACAGAGCAGGGACTCAGAAAACCTTATATCTACTAGGGACTCGGTTGGATGGACAGGTTTTGGGCCACTGATCTGCTCGTTTCAGCTTCTGAAGATATGAGGACTGCTGAGAGGAAATCAATAACAACAAAAACAACAACAATGGCTCGACTTTAGCTATCAGAGTCTGTCCTGAAACGACGAACTTCACTTCTCCATCAAAGAGGAAACAAAAAGATGTTAAGGTCGTTCTTTGTTTAGATGTTATTACCCTGCTTTCTTAAAGCTGTGTTAACACATTTGATGGAAAAAATAAAAACTAGAACCAAGACCAAAGAACAGTGTACTTCAGTTAAAGGTGTGAATTTATGAAATGCCCTTGACGATGAATTAAAAACGTGTCAGACTATTCACAAATTCAAATCGTTGTTTAAAAGCAAGGTGATCAAAAATTATAGAAATAATGATTGAGGTTATGGATTAATTTATATTCTGGATTTAAGTTGATTATTTTTTTTTTTCTTTCTTCTGAGTCATCTTTTAGTCTTTGTTTTGTTGATGTGTTTTGTTTTTGTTTTCTATCTAACGTGTGGAGTAAGATGTTTTGAATATTTTGATTTAGTAAGAAGGATAGGCGTTAATAAGCTTTTGCTTCAGCCTATGCCTTTTCGGTCTGGTTTTCTTTTTCTTTTCTTGTAATTTACTGTATATATTGAATGGATATGACCAGATCGAAATAAACTTCAAACTTAAAAAAAAACTTCAAATACTCAGTTCTGGTTGGTCAAAACACCAGACCAGTGATGATTTATTTGTTTCAACAAAAGTAACACCAGAGGCAGTATAATCACACCTCAATAAATCCTTTTCAGAGTATCGAGCACTTTTTGCCTCTACCTGTTGACACTGTGGCAAAAACATGTCTATCTCGGATTTGTCTAGAGGGTCAGGGTGTAGATGATGTTTACATGAACACATTAAAACCTGGTTATTTGATTTAAAAAAAAAAAAAACAACCCAACCTTGAAACAGAGAACTCCAGGACCCAGCACTACAGAACCTGGAATTCCAGCACAAAGCATTCTAGAATCAAACACTTCAAAACTGAGCATTACAAAACCCAACATTCCGCAACCCAGGACTCCAAAACTCAGAACTCTAGAACTTAGCACTCCAGAACCCAGGACTCTGGAACTGAGCATTCTGAAACTCTGCATGCCAGAACTCAGTACTCCATAACCTAGTATTCCGGAACGCAGCACTTCAGAGTCCAGTGCTCCATTAGCCTCTTCCATTGTTGCCAAGCTCCCAAACCATCATGTAAATCAATAAGTTTCTGTTCTTAAAATCACAAATAGTGAAATTTGTCCTGTTCCCCAAATCTGGCACAGAAAGTTTGAAAAGGGATAAAATTCTCCAGCAGCAAAGAGCAGAGTGTTTCTGCTCAGTAGGTGTTTTGTTTATTTAGACTTTTATTTATTTAGGAAATTCATTGTTTGGTAACATCATATTTTGGCCAATCTTATACCTCTCTTGTTTTATTCTCAAATGACCTTTGAGTCAAACCATTCAGAACACTCTACCGTCTCATCCTGTGAGTTACCAAAGCACACATCAGCCTCACAGTTTTACTATAAACTTTGCCCATATTTAATATTGGCATCCAACATTTTGACGGAATATTTGTTGTTTTTAAATGAGGATTTGCATTTTGTCATCTTTTTCAGTGTGTAACTATAAGTCTTTAAAAGGTTGTTGATCTAAGTCGTCAATCTTGAAGATATTTTGTTTTATTTGGTCACCTTTCCCACCAGTAATATTAACACTTAGCTTAAACTAAATGTAGGCTGAGTCTGACCACCAAACTATCTTTTAATTTCAACTGCTGATTCAAGGATAGATCTCAAACTGAAGACCTTTAGTGGACTTCATCACTGATATACCCTTTATTCTCAAAATACGAGCATCTGAAGCACAAGTTTCAGTTTTTCATGAAGTCTGTTACATGAATTTTTACTTATTGGCCAGTTTGATGATAAAATCTTGACAAATGGAGGGTCACACATATCAGGGTCCACAGAGTCTTCTTGTCCTCAGAGGACGCCACTGCGTCACTCACAAAAGGGATGAGCAGGGGGAGTATTTCCAGAGCTAAATATATTTTCACACTGTAGTAGAGTAAATATCCCGTTTACACTAGTATTTCTAAGCTCTTCTTAGTGTTTTCATCACTTCCAATGTGAGGTGAAAAGGTCATGATTGATCACCATAGAACCCTCTAACCGATTATAAGTATTGTTGCTGCTGTACTAATCCGGAAGTCTCTGATATGGTTGTCACAACACCAGATCTCCAGACTAATTCCATAGTCTGAATGAACAGGGTTCTTAGTGGGATTTCATTTCAATAACCAGTACAGGGAAAAGAAGCTCTGAGTTAACACAGCTTTAAATTATAAAGCTGTGTTAATGTGACCGTAACAAATTTAAACATATGCAGATTAAACACGACCTCAGCTGTTTCCAGGCTTGACTAAGAAGAAATACCGCCTTCGACAGCCGAGGTCAAAGGTCAGGGAGGAATCACTTCCAGGCAACAATTCGCCAGATCGAAGCATCAATCCTCGTCACCTGCTCAGAGAGTTTCTCATCATCCCCAGCTCTGTGGCTCCTGCAGCCAGCTGTCAGCTGATGGATACCCAGGCAGAGGAGTCCCTGCCTTAGGCAGCAGAGGGAGGTCTCCCTCCTGGTCCGGAGCTCTGCCAGCGGTCCCTGACATGAAGTCCAACCCTGTCATTACTGCAGCCCAGGGGGGAGGGGCTGCTCGCTGATGACATTAACTTTTCATCAACAGCTCCGGGTATCAACTAAGAGGTGCTGCTTTTAGTCTAACTGCCAAATGAGCTCAGAAACATGGAGAATATGGACGTTTACAGCTGCAGAAATCCTCCTCTGACACTGACTGTCATCAGCTACAGGCAGACTGGTCTAACAGTCACATTCACGCTTCTGTTCAAAGATTATCAAGCATTACTTTCAAACAAACTGTCAGGTTGATGCAGTTTTGATTGTTATAAAATCAAGTAAGACATCACTGCAATAACTCAAATCAGACAAAGAGTGGTCAAAACGTCTAAACACACATGTTCAGCCTTCTGCCAGCTGGCTGGTGGGTCTCAGTTTCACTGTCAACCGTAACACAGAGGCCTTACTTTCATGTCTTGTGCTGGTAATGAACGGGTCTTAAGTTTGCTGAACTAACAACATTATGATCCAAATTTACAGTCAAGTTTGGTCAGATCAAACAGACACTAACTGAACTAAAATCCAGATCCCGTACCTCAGAGTCAACTTTAAAGAGAGAGCAAGTTCAAACAGACTCATGCATCTATCTCACCTCAGGCCTCAAAAAGGAAGGAAAACCCTGATCCTAAATACGACTCAAACTCAGGTTCAGCAGAGCAGCCAGGTCTCCACAACACCTCTCATAACCCATCAAGCCCACAGATACTTGGCACACATTTCCTGTTTGTCTCAATTTTCAGACTCCATCCTGCTTTCCTCGCCCCCTTCCCTTTTTACCTCCATACATCATCCCCATTCACAGCCATTCACTCTGCCGTCTCTCCTCCTCTCTCCTCTTATTCAGTGCAGTGCATACCTCTCCAATCTCTCCATGTAAGTACTGTCTGGGTCCTGTAATCCGCTCAGGTGACTCAACTGCACAGACAGACTCCCCACACACTGAGTCTCCTGCTCTGCGACCTTCAGTATATCTGCAAAAAAAAAAAAAAAAACGGACAGCTTCCTCCCCCACAAACATCCTCTTCCTCACACCGTTCATCCATCATCAACATCCAGCTTCTCTTCATGCCATTAAACCTCTAAAATCACTGAAGTGGTCTGTTTCCGGCCTGCAGAAAAAGAAGGTTCAGAGTTATTCCAGAAAACATCAGACGCTGTGAACAGCTGGTAAAAAAACAGTCAGTAAATTCTGTGTAAAGATGGATGGATGAACTTTTTATGCTTATAAAAAGTATGCTCATCTCTGATAGATTCGTTCTAGTTTCAGACTGAAGCCACTGTGGGTAAGTATAGATTTGTGTCTATTTTGGCGCCCCCTGTGGTCAAGAGCATGTCCCGGCTCTTGGCCGCTCTTACCCTGTACATACTGTTAGCCTTTTTTAAGCTCATACAAAGACATTAGGATAGACTTAAGTCTGTTTCACCAGCAGCTTTAAGCTAAGTATAGTTAGCCACTGTTGCCTCACCTTGTTAGAATTATATTTAGCATAACCACCAGCAAACTAAACAGTATCCTACATATTACCAAGCTACTGACGAAACATGCAAACCAGCTGACACCAAGTATTGATCTAAGGAGGATTTTATTGATACAAATATGATAAGTTTACAGTAAAGAATTCTTATCAGTGTACTTACAGGTCCAGTTCATTTCAAACTGAACATTTCCATTCATAATAAAGTAAAAAAAAAAAATCACCTCATACTGTGCTGCTGCCTGTGAACCCATGAAAGTCGGTTTTCTTCAATTTCATGGATGTCTCTATCATTTCTCTCCTTGCTGTTTTCCCACCTCTGCTTGTGAGCCGCCAAATAAGATAACCAAGTCCAAAATGTGACTGGCCAGTGTAGATACCATGTGTGCTTGGGCTGCCAGATCGGCTCATACCTGTTGATGATGACACAGTATTTCTGGAAGTTGGTTGGATGATCTTGAAGATTTTGGTTGGTCTAGACAAATTAAAAGCAGTTTTCGCAGGATCAGGTTTCATAGGATTGTAGTTCTTCGGAGAAAACATGGACTAATTTTACGAAGAAATCTATCATTACTTATCGAAAGGTACTTACGACAGTCGAACTACCGCCTCTTTTAGGTTGCCAAAGGAAATGTGAAATAAAGGCAAAAATATCTATTATTAAATGAAGATCCTGAGTACATCTTTCTTCTTTTCCATTTGGAAAGGTGAACATATACAATTCAAGCCATTTAAAAAATAAAGTACAGTAAGTCTGCTGTAGTGTGACGTCACCAACAGGCGCCGGGCCCCGAGCTGATCTGGCAGCCCAAACACATCTGGTACCTACACCGGCTTATGTTGCTATAAACCATCATGGTGTCAGAATGCAGACAGAAAAAAAGTCCCCATGCTGTGTAGTTCCCAGACAATGACCTGATGGATAGTTCCTCTTCAGATAGTTCCCAGAAGTGTTCAGTCCAAAAAAAACACCTTTAGACTCTGCAGTGTGAAATAAAGGTAATATCGTAATTTAGAGTCTGAATGCCTTTGAAAATATGTAGAGTATATGACATTATAATGATATAGGGACGTGTATAAATGTGTGTGTGTGTGTGTGTGCGTGTGTGTGCCAGTTCCATCCGATAAAACTGAGAGGTCTCTACATTATCATGATTGAACCCCGACTCCATCAGCTCACAGGCAGAGGGGGTTTCCCTGAGAGGACGATCTACAGTCAGACCCTCTCAGTGATCGATGGGACAGAAATCCAGACAAATCCATGGACTGTGAGTGTATTTCTGTTCTGATGCAGACGCTGAAGATTTGTCCAGCGATGGCTGATGGAGGTTTAGTCTGGATTGGATGCGGATGTGTTGGTGGGTTTGATTTGATGCTCAGCAGAGAGGCAGCAACACATCAACACATCCCGCCTGTTCTCTGATTCTCCACCAGGAGAAGTGTGAAATGGCAGGTTGTGATTGTGTGTGTGTGTGTGTGTGTGTGTGTGTGTGTAGGCGAGCTCTGGCCTTTTCCCCTCCTCTCCCACGTCTCCTCCAGCTCTGCCGCAGCATTAGCATGCAAACAGCAGCTGCAGCGCTGCACCCCATTGCTCACTTCAAACAGCAGCACAACCTCAGCTCCCCCACACACACACACATACACACACACACACACACACACACACACACACACAGCATCACACTATGTCCATGTAGTACAGTTCATATATCACAACAGTAAGAAAAAGCACTTTGTACACGTCAATGAGATACATTCATTTGACATTCAACCCACGCAGCAAGTGACACACACACACTTACCAACCCACACAGTACAAGCCCTGCACACACACCTGCACACACACACTTTCGCACTGCTAACCTGCTCTCAGTCTGTTGCTGTCCAGAAGTGTGGAGCTGTTCAGGATGTTTTCTTGTTCCTTCACTTTCCTGTCACAGTCAGTCTGAGCCGGGTTTAAACTCCAGCATTAGGAGGTTACCGCTCGGCTGCAGCACAGCCTCAGGAGTCCCTCTAACTACACCTCCTCCGCCTCCACCACGGCTGACATCTACCTCCTCAAAATTCTGACTACACAATGGGGGTTTGGGTACTGGCAAAAAAATGAATGAACAGATTTAGTACGGTGTATGGTGTATTCCTGTTCTGCACTGAATACAAAGTCCTTCCAGGAAACGGAGCCAGTCTGGAGAGCTGAGGCTGACACAGACTCAGTTATTCAGCAAATACGCCACAAACAAAATATGTCAAATGTTTTTAACGAGAGCCAACATTTATAAAAGCTGTACCCAACTCGAATCAGGAGCTCCTGACAATTTCCAGACAAATGGAGGACATTTAAACTGTTTGTCTTTTACGCATGGTCCACCAAGCTGGAGGCGTACTAACTCTTGTGCTGCCTTTTCTATATATGTGTGATTGTATTGAGGTTTTCTATTATTATTATTATTATTATTATGATATCATCATTGAGGACTTTTGGCTGCAAGCATCACAAGACTGACTGATGGGAGAACTATGAGGGACTTCCTACGGGCTTCAGTCCTAATCAAACCTCAGAGTCCACGTGTAACGTCACATCTTAGCAGGCTAAAATCACATGTGGAGTACCCCAAGGCTCCATCCCGGAGTATCTGCTGTTTTATTTCTATTTGCTTTCATCGGCTTGGATTTTAAAAACATTACAGAATAAGATACCGTCACTATGCAGGCAACACGTAATCATACAAATCAGAAGGAGACCATGGCCCCATGCAGACCCCGAGAAAGTGCCTTGTAGAAATCAGTGAGTGGATGAGCCTCAGTTTTATTTTCGGAGCTGAGGAGGAGGAGGGTTTTGCTGTCCTAATTTCATTTGAGATCCATCTTTCTGTCCAGGAGAGTCTGAATTTCAAGTTACTCCAGATGTCTCCATCTGCAGTCTCTCCTAGAGGATCCAGAGTAGGTGTGTTTTTGATCTAAATCCGCTGATGAAGAGGCTCGACTCTGAGCTCCCTGCAGATATCAGAGCTTCCTGCCCTCTCCCTCACTGAGCACTAATGGCATTAAACTGGTGATAATGGGCACAAGGATGGGAACCAGTACATCAGAAATGGGCCCACAGTTTGCTGATTATCATGTAAAAACCCCTGGATCATGTCGGAGTGACCCCCGGACTGATCTCTGCTTCAGCACAGATGGCACTTTCTAATTACACATTCCCAACATTTGGGGGGCTGGTGGAAGCGAGAGCAGAGTGCATTAATTAGCAGACTTCTTCAGATGGAAGCTGCTCTTTTCATGAGCTGCAGAAAACTGGCAGTGTGAGCTGTCTTACTGTATGTGCATGTGTGTCTCCATGCTGCAGTGCTGGTCAGGATGGGTCCACAGACTCTGGGAAACAACACTGTCCTCTTCACTTCTTCCTGTTTTTCCACAGATGACAAGAAGGTCACCAGGAGGGTGGAGGATGTTTAAGTTATTCAGGTCTGAAATCAGATACTGGTGGTGCAGCATTGAGGTGGTTTGACCGAGTGGATGTAATCAAATCTCAGACATTGGCTTTAGGTACACTCAAAACTCAATCATGTGTTTGCTGTTGCTCTTAATCTTGTCATGTGGTCTGATAGCTGAAAATAAAGAGCAGCTATACTCCTAATGATGCAATTATCGATAGTTCACAAGACTGATAACCCACATTTAGGAGTGATATGCATTGACTATAAAAATGAAAAACTTTCAGTCAAATTCAAATTCAAAAAAATTTGAGGAAATCATCAACATAAGTTTGAAGTAAAATTGAGGTGCAGAGTCTTGGAGGTCAAGTCAGGCAGAAAGAGTCGTGGGAGCTGAGACAAAGACTACCACGCCAAGGCAGCGCACAGGCCGATACAGATAATCAGCCAAATGCCAAAATAAGCCCCAATAATCTGGCAAGGACAATAACTGGTCTAAAAAGCTCATGTGCATCCAAAAGGTCCAGGTCTGCTGCAACTGAATATGCAAAGGACTGTTTAAGTACACGCAAACAGAACCGGTGCACTGAGACTCAGTTTGCTCTGCAGGACTGGTTAGGTTGCATTTACGGTTTTACATGAGCTTTGTGAATCAGACGGCATCTTTTGACCCATCAACGCAGGTCCAGAGGATGGAAAGCTGTGCAGTATAGTTTTGTAAATTCGAGTCAGAGACGTTTGCATGCAGCTAAACCTCTGAGTGCCTCTCTCTGACAGACCAAACTGCAACAACAGCTTCT